GCATATTTATTACTATACTATACTTATTACTATATTTATTACAATACTTTTTGTTTTTTTAGTATACCTCTCGGAACACTTTTCCTTTCATTTGGTGGTTCGACTACTAGAATTTGGCGAATTTCATGGCACTATCGGTCGCTTTATACAGGTTTTCTATCATATTTCTATTTTTAGCTGAACTATCCAACAGTGTGCTTAGTATTGTTATATATTTTTAACTCTGTATTCGTTCGTTCATAGTGATCTTCTCTAGCTTTTCTTCTTCAGTCATTCTAGCGACTTATAGTATCCTAGTAGTTCGGCCTCAAACGTGTGACGTTTCAATACAGCAAGCAAATCGTCGTCAAACAAGAAAAACGTATTTCGTCTTGAAAAAAAATATTCATTCACCCCACCTGCTTTTGTACAATTTGTACACCTCTTCGTTTTCCTGTCGTCCTATTGAGCGCGACTCGAAATATGCAGAAAATTCCATGTTTTTGTAAAAATGAAGCCATATAAAAAATAAAGTTATTTATTGTTGTTGCTTAAACGTTTTCTGAAGTTACATTTTTTATAAATAAAACATGAATTTTGCTCCAATCCTTATAAGACCTACTGATCTTTCATTAAATCCTGGTAATGGTCTACGCGTCGTGAAAAAATACAGCGGGCTTTTTATTCAGTTTTATTGTCAGGCAAAAAATAAATAAAGAAGTATGAGTAGAGATACATATAATATACCAAATATATGTATTTTGAATTCTATGTGTATTTTTACATATCTATCAAATATAATTTACAATTTATTTTTAATATTATCACAAGTTTTACAATAGTGAGGAAGAACAAATCAAAATGTATTATAAAAATAGATAAATACTGGTTCGGATAGACATAGTCCGCCGGCTAGATAGTAACCGGTTGTACATTGATTAGTTATTAAAAGTGAATATCAGTTTTGTGTTGTTATTAATTCCGAATTTATATAAGATGTAGAGAATTTCTGATAACTTTTGTACAATACTGAAATACTACATGGAAATAAAGGAAATCTATATGTATTAAGGCTAAACAAAACAAGTCTAAATATATGAACTTATTACGTATAATTACATAATTTATATACATTTTATTGTCTATCTTATAGGAGTAGTCAAAGAACAGAATTATGGCATTAGAATTCTAATTTGATAATTTTGTTAATTCAGGCTTCTTCTAGCTTGTTCTTCTTATTCATACTGACGGTAGATATTATTTTATAGAAAAATAAAACCAATCTGATTAAACAAATGTAATAAAAAAATAATTTGGTGAACACAATAATACTATATATAAGTAACTAATAAGAAAAACACAAAGTCTTCAATTTTATAAACCCACACTTTTTGCATTATACGTCAAAATAGTAACTGGGTAAATAAAAAATATCAGGGGCGGTCTAACCCTTTCAGTACGTGAAAAATTCTTAGGAATGCACACTGCCGTAGGAGGTGTTCTACGGGTTGCGAAGTGCTACGATTATTACGTAGGCACGTAGTACGGGTACGAGCCGTGAAGTTGGGAGGGTCTGTTCCGCTCTCTACATAAACGACTCCTCATCATTCATGATAACCTAGTACGCAACCTGTCTTTAGCCATGCTTTGACACCCGTGAAGCCCAACTGACAGCTGATTAATTAACGAATTGCTTCTGTTTTTATTCTATAAACAGTCTTTTCAATATTTGATAATGATTAATTTCGTTATTAAACAATAAACTTGTAATTATGGTGAATTACTGAAATAAATATACGTACACGTTTATTTATAAACATAGTTCGAAATATTAAATAATATCTTAATATGAATATATAATCTTATTAATATGATATAATAATTAGGAAGGTATACATACATATAGTTTGTGAATTTTAAATTAATTTATTGCATTTAATAATTTTATTTTTTATTTTAACATTGATATCTCTTTAATAATAAATAACTTTAAATTTCTTCACATAATTTTTTCCCTTTGATATGATAAGAAAGGTGAGTGTGGTGTTCTCATGCACAAATTGAGTCGATGATATTATTTTTCACCTGTCTTACGACTCACCTGAATACCAGGGTATAAGAGAATTGCAGGAGAAAACTTACCTACGGAAATTCACCTTTTGCAATACCTGCCTTTAAAGTAACTTCTGACAGGTGTGTTCAATATGGAAAGTGGGAAAGAGAAGATAATTGTGTCTCTCTTTTACACCACCGGCAGATTTCCTGTCACCTTCGCCCCGTCGTTGTATGCACACATTGGAAATGAACTGAAACTTTAGTTTGTGTGCGTTTTCAGGTGAAGTAACTTCAGCATACCGTTGCAATCCTAGTACTCAGGTAAGAGGTGAAGCAGGTGAGTTTTACCTGAGCAAGGCATTTTTCATAGAATTTAGGTTTCAGGTGTGATGCTTGCTAATATTGATCGGTTGGTTTTTTAGTCTCGCTTGTTTATTTGTTACACTTGATAATGCAATCTTGAAACAATGTGCCCTCATAAAAATACGTTCACCTTTTATTTCAATGAGAATTAAAATATTTATAACAATTTTCGTTCATTCCATACCCAATTTTGAGTCAAATTGTGAAGTATATCTCTATACTACTATTCACAGGCACCTATGTTAAATTGCTTTTTTAAATTACTACAAGAATAAAACAAAAAACTTATTTCTGTATTAAATAAAAGTGGTATTTCATGTAGTGATTTATTTTATTCAAAATATAAAATTAGGTTCAAATTAATTCTAATCAACAATTTCATATTATTTAAAACGAACAGGATTGATTTATCGGAAAAACAAATTTTCTTTTGCGGGGAAAATTTCGATAAAGTGGGGGAAAAACACCAGGATCGCATAGGATACAAAGATATGGAACAACCTCATTGCTCCCAATCCGCGCCTGGGAGGCGTATTTAAATAAAATAATAATCTTCGAGCAGGAAAGCATAAGACAGTACAGGTATTTTATAGAATGAACTAGATTTTTTCTACTAGGTACAACTACTTTCATGGAAATACGTTAATATTGTACTGGATTATAGTAGTAGGTATAAGGCGAACATAGGCAACTGGATATTAAAGTTAGGTTTTCTTGGAGGTAGGTTTCTTGTCTAAGTTGCTCGTTTCAGATTTATATATATACAACGCAATGTTTTTATGCATAAATCTGTGGACTTACAATATTATATGACTGACAATTACAATCAAGACACATTAGACGATTCGTGTTGTTCTAATTCAAGAAAGAAAATACCTATGTTTATTCTACGAAATCCCGTGTAGACCAGATGAATCTGTCTTACTACAATTTACATTTCTAATTACAACGTACATAAGTATGTATTATATTTTTTCTAAGGCATGGGAATGAAGGGAATGAAAGATATCACGGGCATGTTAAATTGATATTATGATGACCGTAGTGTTGTTTTAGATTATTAGTTTCTATCAGGCGTACCGTCAAATTATTTGTCATTCCAATCATATAGAAAAAAGTTGATTAGCCGTACGAAACTGATAGAAATGCTACTATAAATAAAACTACTGCTGTATTGGACGAATTTTTCGTCACATAATTTGTTATGCAAACAAATTTTACAATATAGATATTTTCATCATATGGCTTTCCGTTACCTAGCAACTATGGGCGCTGAAAAAGGTATAAACGCCTTTTAGTTACTAGGTTTACAGAAATTCTGAGATACTACTTATCGTAGCTAGAAAGCTGTCTCGTCATGGCAACAACCCGCGAAAGCATTCAAATTGTTAATATAAAGCGTGTTGCCTTCTCTTTGAAGTCTCAATCACTTCTCGTGTTTATGTTATTCACTCGTTCATTCATTTCATTCCTCAGTGAATGAGTATGATTGAATTAAATGTTACGTTAAAATTCACTGTGAAATTTTCGCTCGTAACTCAATATCTTTATTTCGAGCAGTCAATTGATATTTTGTATAGTCATTTATGTCCTGTTTTTTTAATGTAACTGATATAATAAATAAGCTGACTTTATGGCAAGTATGTCTGTCTATTTATTACAGAATAGTACCTGAAATAACAGACTAAAAGGCATGCCATCCTTTCAAATCAAATCAAAAATAATTTATTCACGTAGGACATTTTAGTCGTTTCAATAACGTAAATTTTTTTTTATAACATCCAATTCAGTGCCTTGGAATGGCAGCGAGTGGTATCATGGACGTCGCATGATAACGTATTATCCGCCGTCATGCATATAGGCGACGGTTACCGCTTACCATCAGGTGATCTGCCAAAAATAGTTCTTGATGACGAATATACGTATATTGTATATCTTCAAAACCACACCTATATATATATGTTAATACGTGAAGCAAAAACATACCCAAGTTGCGCGGACGGAAGAGTATAAAATTACGCACACTTATGGATTATATAGAGAAGGAGTGCAGAATGCTATTTTTTTTAATTATCCATAATGAAAATATATTAAATGAATAAAAAAACATTCTACACTGAAGCACATTTTTATATGTATAGGTGACTTTTATGTATTATATTTTAACGTAATTTACTAATTATTATATATTCACCCTGTCCTATTCTGTATCTTTGGTTCTGACCTTTAATTGTATCGTTTTTAAATAGCCAACTTAAATATAAGTTTAATATTAAAGATAAATTCTTGAGGTATCTACTATTGGTTTTACTAACTATGTAAAACTATATATTGCGTATAAATTGTAAGTAATCTGTTGTGGTTTTATATGTATGTATACCGCCCCGCGCCGCCCAACAAGTAGTAGGTATATTCCTTACAGTTAGTTAAGACACACGCAAATTGGTCGACATAAAGTTTTGTGTATTTTACCAAATAAAACAGCTTTCCATAAGAGGGCCTTTAACTCACACCATGAAAGCCCTGAGATCCTCAGGCCCATATCTGGCGCCAATACTGTTGATTATATAAAATACATAAATGAGTAATATATAAATACTCACTTGTACCCATACTCCAAGTTGTCCCCACATCCGGCCCACACCCAATCGGTGTGCAAGTTCCTGGGACGAGCTGCCCGGCTGCAGCCACAGTTGGACAGTCTACCATCTCTGCATGCTCGAGATACTGAGAGCGAGACACCAGCAGCTGTGATGGCATGCGTGAACGCCGTCTCTCTGGATGCTGTTAAAATGTCAATATCATTTAATTACAAAGGACTAAGTGTTTTTTAGCAAACGTCTCTTATCATTATTAATACCTGAGTAACGTGTACAGACAATGTTTACCTTATTACGATTAATGGAGTTAAGAATGTATCGCCTTTACACAAAATAAAATTTTAAAATAGAAAAATTGGTTTTTAGTTATTATTTTGCGGAAGTACATTTTATTACGTAATGGTTTCTTTATTTTGTTTAATTCCGCTTTTATTAGCATGTGCGAGACTACAAATAGTCAGTGCGAAACCTGACCGGAAGCTTGGAATTCTACTTAATAATGATAGGCGAAATACGTGTCACAATATGGGTTTAGACTCAATAACGGTAGGAATTTAATCACCAATAGAGAAGCTTGTAACGCTTCCAGTAGCGGTGGTCAGGTTTCCGCACTGATTATTTGTGGTCTCAAACATACTAATGATAGCGGAATTAAATAAAATAATATAAATCCATTAAGTAATGAAATGGATTTCCGCATAGTGAAGGTCATAACGCTTTTAGTAGTGGTGGTCAGGTATCCACACTAAATATTTGTGGTCTCACACGTGCTAATGTTAGCGGAATTAAACAAAATAATATAATTCCATTACGCAATGAAATGTACTTCCGCAAAATAACACCTACTTCTATAAAATAAATTTTTACTTCGATTTTAAAATTTTCTTAAATGTAAAGAGGATACATTTTAAGTTAAAAGCTTTCACTAGAACATGTAACTTGCAAGTTGAATGTAACTCTTGAAGTAGTGCCGTGAATGTCGCTATAAATCAGTTAGTGTCTCGCACGCCACTCTGCGGAGTCTGCGAGAGATTTAGAGCTGTGTAAAACTGCGGATTTCAACACCAGAAGTGGATATACGAAGATAAAGTATATTTCCATCCGTTGCGGATGCCTGTTACGTCACTGTGACGTCACTACTATGATACAATGTATTACTCTGTACTATTACTAAGACCGTGTTTCAATCAAGGTACTTATGTGATCTATACAAATAAATAAAATTGAAGTATCTATTTGTAATTTTAAATTAACACCCATAACACGAACTTTACTAATCTAGAGACTAGATGATGCTGTGTGAAATTGTTTTGAGATAATATATTTATATTTAATAAGGCTGTTGATTAAATATAAATAAATATGACATTCACAGTTGGTAAAAAATTTGCGCTTAAGGTGATAAAATAAAATAAGGTATAAAAGTTTGTATAGAAATTCGTGATTTTTTAAGCTAAAAGGATGAAAGTTTTTTATTTGGCTTCTTTTGGTTACATTATTAAATATTTTTTCTTTATCCGGTCAAGGTCACTATTCCACGCGGACGGAGTCGCGGGCACAGCTAGTATAAAATGAAATCATAGTATAAATGTGTAGCGTGATTTATTTGAGCGGCAAAATAATTGCTATACATACTTTATCCCGCTACTCCATCGTCTTTATGATACTTTTATTGCTTTCTATGTCAACATTTCTTTGTTCTTTACAAGTAAATTTATCGCCTGTTTATCTGGATACATGTCTATTGTTCCGCCGAATATTTCCAAGCGAAATATCAAATAGGTCAGATGTGTTAAACTAGTGAGTCTAGTGGGGTCGTATTTATGTATGTACTAGCTGTGCCCGCGGTTTCATCCGTCTAAAATTGCAATATATAAATTGAAATAAAAATATAGCCTATATGTTATTCTGATGCAAAAGCAATATTACTGTAAAATCAAAATCCGTTCAGTAGTTTTTGCGTGAAAGAGTCATCAACACACATCCATCCATGCTCACAAACTTTCGCGTTTATAATATTAACCAGCTTTTACTCGCGGCTTCGCTCGCGTTAATTTATCCCCTTAGGGGTGGAGTTTATCAAAATCCTTTGTTAGGGGATGCCTACGTCATAGTAGCTTTATGCATGCAAAGTCTCAGCCCGATCGGTTTAAAATTGACAAAGATTCATACAAACTTTTATCCCTTTAGAGGTAGAATGAATCAAAATCCTTTCTTAGCGGATGCCTACGTCATAACATCTACCTGCATGACAAATTTTAGCCCGATCCATCCAGTGGTTTGGGCTGTGCGTAGATAGATCACTATGTCAGTCACCTTTGAGTTATATATATTTAGATAACATTTCTTAAATTAATACTATGAAAACTAAGACGTTTATATCTTAAAACTATTATATAAAGACAGGTACATTCTAATTTTATTTATTAGACAAGGCATGGTTTCGTTTAGAAGTCAGGTTTTGAATGTAATACAGCAGTAAATACTATGTATTATACATACAAAACCTTCCTAAAGAAAATCAACAGTGCGACGGCCTCGGCTTAGAATACCGTCTTACTTCCTATGGGTTCGATTCCTCGAGCTCTGTATTTATGAGAATGTTTCTTGGTATTGGTGTGGATCTTTTTTATGTGTATTTACAAAACGTATTTACTTCAATACATTTGGGGGAATACTTATTCCTATCTTTGGTCTAGTACCTATAACACAAGCTTTTTTAGCTCGAGACTAGACGGCGCTGTGCAAATTTCTTATATATTGGTTATAATTATATAATATAGTATATACTGCACTAATTAAATAAAATAATTATGTGATTGTTTAATTCCAATCGAAATCAAGTGCAGTAATATTTGAAGACTAAAGTTCAAAATTTACAAATAAAAATTATACGTTTCGAAGTTACAAAGTGTTTGTGTGTTTTTAGCGGGGTCTGTGAAAATTATAATAATCTTAATGCGACCCTCCAAGATAAAAAGTTGAGGAACATTGAGGTAGGTCCATGGAAATATCACAAGAATGCAAATCTTATACGAAGATACGAGCTAAGTCGTCGATATCATATACATATTTATATCACAAGCTTTTTATGTCAATATAATGAGATGTAGGAAGTTAATATAGATCTTTTACACGAATCATATGAGTATAACGTCAATCTTTATGAGTATAACGTGACTTTACTCTGAAAAATAAATAAACGTGGACAAATCATACAGTGCCATCTACTATCATTTTCAAATTTGGATTAGTTTTAAATATTACATATTTGTCACTTATAAATCATTATTTTTAATTTTCTTGCAAGAGAAGGAGAGAGGGAGAGGACTTGTTCCAATACAACACTTTTTTAATATTCGATTTATTTACTTCGCTAAAAATAAATCTGAAATATACATAGATTGAAGACGAATATAATAATGTTTCTAATAGCACAGTTTTGAAGAAATCATTAAAATAGGATTTATTCATAGTATTAACACAGTTTAAAATTTTGCTGTTGCATTTATTTCCATAAAAACTATTGAAAATGTCATAGTGAGTTTACTATTATATTTTCAACCGTTTTGATGGAATAATACAGGAATTTGTATCTAAATATATGTTAATGTTTTTTTATGTATATATTTAAGAGCAAATAAGATGATATAGCAATAAATAAGGTGTCATGTTACTCGTCGATTACGCAGATGACTTTGTATGTTTTATCTACCTCAAAACCACAGATAATATTGCATAGTAACTTAAAAAAACTTACCAATAAATGTCAGTGGGCCAAACACAGTATCATCTGTGGTGACGGTACAGTTCCATCGTCTGTCCTTAAATTGGTGCTGACATTCGGTTATCCCATTCTTCACACCGATCCCGACAGCTGGCATGTGATCCTTATGTCTGCGGCAAACTCGCCGTTGTCCAGGCGTTAAACCACGGATTCGAGAACACATCCGTGACTTGTCTGAGAATAGGTCGGTTTGGTTAGACCATTTCTCGAACTCTAAAAGGCCCATTGTGCTGTAAAAAATAGGAATGGCTGTTAGTGGTCATACATTAACCAATTCTTTTTAAAAGATATGTAAAAGTATCTGAGATTTGGGTCGGTTTGGTTTGATCATTCCCGAACGAAAAAGGAATGGTTTTTATTGGTCAGGTATTAAACCGAGGATTTAATGATACATATGTAAATTATATGACAATAGGTCGATTTGGTTCAATAATTTATAGAACTCTAAAAGACCCATTGTGCTGTAACAAAAGAAATTACTGATATTGGTCAGGCATGAAAACAGGGATTAAAAATGACATGTAAATTATATGAGAATTAAATCGATTTGATTCGACCATTTCTTGAACTCTAAAAGGCTCATTATACTGTAATAAAGAGGAATCATTATTATCAGGATTTAAAGTATGAAATTTCCAATTTGTATTGAAAAATTGAAACTCGTTTCTTTTTAAGATACGATTTATAAACATATTTACCCTCACTTTAATAAAATAAATATCTTATAAAAGAACGAGGAAGCTCATGCCTTTATGATTGAACTCCAAATACATTTGATACAAGATGCAGCTATTTGATTAATATAGAAATTAGTAACCATACAGCGTAGTCATAGAGACAGCGTGGTGATAAAATATTTATTTATATATATAAATCACAAGTAATTATCTGCTTTTATGTAAGTATAATAGCTAATAACGCGTGCCTAATAAAAAACTGCATTAACTCAAACACCAAATATATTATAAATTCAACCGTAAAGTAAATTAATAAAGTATATATTTCATAATTTGTATTTCTTAAGTTTATTACTAAGTGCAACATGTCAGGTTAATGAAGTTTCCTGTTTTAGACTAAGATTTTACGTAAATATACATAAATTGATATGTGCAACTGTTTTTGTAAACAAATAAACATCGTGACAAGCCGTCATGTTCCTGCGACATAGTGTAAATATACATGTGTAACGCATTATCTTTTCAATAGGTGTTAGTACAAACAAACAATCAAATGCATACAAGATAGTTTCACTTTAATGTAATGTAACTTGTATATAATTAAAACTCATAGTTGTAATGCTTTTACATGGTAATTGCATAAATTTTACAACAAATTACTAGAATCTGTTCAATATTTACTTGAAATAGAGTAAAATGTCGTATTTCACTCTAAAAATGCTTATTATAAAATTGAAGATTTTGTAAATGATAATAATGTTTTTATAAAAAAAACTTAAAATTCATAGTGCTGACAATATTATCTGTTTGCATTAAGAATGTGTGCTTAGCGGTTTCTATGTTGATTGTCGCATGCCTCTTACTTCCTCTTGACAAGAGGAACACACAAGTTTCTTGCTCATTCTTCTCGCATTCCGAATGAGTGCTAGAATAAAAAAAATATCACTACTATTAGTATCTCAACCTTCGACTGAATCACAACTCATAAATCAAAATGCTGCCGTCCGTGCTGGTTATATGTACAAAGACGGTCACCAATTACCATCAGGCGGGCCATTAGTTTGTTTGCCATTGCAGTTGCATAAAAATAAAGTACCACAAATCACACACACTATATCATCATTAAGAAGAAAACTGACGGGTAACTTCGAGAATATTCCATAGAATGATAAATTTCTATATGCACATGTACATAAATATTTGTGTTATAAGGTTTTAAATAATAAACATATCATATTAGATCAAGATAACTGATAGTTTACGACGAGATTTAAGACAAAGATGACTAATTACCTCTATGTTGTAATGACAGAGTGTTTTTTCCCTTAAACGAGATGAGGTACTCGATTCTGGATGAAAAACATTTTAGATTTTTCTTTCATAATCATTGTGGAAGAATTTGAACGACCAAAAACAAACACGATTATCTCTGTATGAGTCAATTCCCGAATCTTCTAAATCTGTTGACATACTCGGTATTAGTCAGACTTAAATCAATGAAAATATCTTTATTCATGTAGGACTATTACAGACTCTTATGATATGTCAAATCTTATGTCAGGTCCGAGTGCTTTCGAGCTAAGAAGAATACCGCTCTTTTCAAATGAGCTTGTACATGATTACAATAATACAAATGCATTTTAATAAATGAATAATATGCCTTCATAACTGTTATCAATTATGAATCGAGATGGTGGTTTTTAGAGGTTTATTTATTTATTTATTTTAGGATGATTAACGGTGTAATTTTTCATGTTACTTGTCATATTAAAATGATTATTAATTGGCATAGGCCAATTAATAATCTTCGCCGGTATTTGTCAATGGTAGATATTGCGTCTTTGTGAACGTTCGCCTTTTTGTGTGCCCATCCTGGCAAACGGCAAGTCTAAAACCATCTATATTATCTCTTGTTATCTGTGTTTGCACCACCTGAGAGTATTTATAAGTATAATAGATTCAAGTGAAATCCACAGGTAATTGTTATTGCTAGATATCTAATTTGTGAGACTATAATTGAATTACGCTACATGTTGAGTTCATCTTTCAATGAGATTTCATTCAGCAAACGTTCCCTTGATACTGTTATGATACTAAGTAATAGTCTTTGTTAATTGTTCTAATTTACGCTACATGCTCAGATCAATCAATAAAGTATTTAAAGTTATTAATATGAACTCGCTTGTTATATCGGCTAAGTATAACGATACAGTTTCGAACTGAAGTAAAACTGGTTGAATCTGTGAATAAAATTGAAACTGTTTACGTAACTTACTACAACGAAAGTTATGATTATAGAAATCTTCAGACTATTCTACAACTATTTAACTCATTAATAAGTATCACCAGTCGTAAGGGACACGAATATCATAAAGTAGGTAGAGTTATATAATTTCTACTTTTAGCAAGTGGGGTCTTTTAATAAGGTCATGGAATGTGAGATTTATATTATTCACATATATATGTATGTTGTTAGATGTCCGGTGTAGCTATAAAGACTACGGTTAACAGCTTCAAAATAATTATAAAAAATTCAATGTGATTGATCATATTCAAGTATGAAACAATTTCTAAATTTTTATAACAATATATTTAACAGAAATATAACAAGATTATATAATACAAAATACTTAGAAGCACACTTATATGATTTTGTAGGTACTGTGAAATACTTGGCACATCACACAACAGAATACTAGGAGTTCATAGCCTTGTAGACGTAACCATATCACTTAATATCTTCCATAGATGGTAACAGTGAAGTTGAAGCCGTAATTCCTTTGGCTTTTAAGTTTGATTTTAACAAATCTCTGTCCAATACCGCCAGCAGAAATAGTTGGGTAACCGCCGCTTCCATCTCTTTCGTTATCTTTCACGTATATAGCCTTTATGTATGCGAAGTTATGCTGTCCTGGTTCTGGGTATTCGACGATGCTGGTCCTTATGAAGAGCGGGAAACCATATTTGTATTCGTTGACTTTATAAATGACAACGTCACCGTAGGTCGCTTGACCAAGTACCAAGTCGTGACTTTGGCAAGAATACGCTGCTATCAAGCAGAAAAGCGTAAAAACTGTGAGTGCGCGCATTTTGGTATCGTTCGGTCGTTTTAACACTGATATGTTAATTGCTCGACATTGTTTTATATTATACAAAAGAAAAGGTGTTATGCAAAAGTGAACCAAGAAACTTTTCCCCGTGGACGTATTTAATTTCGGCGATGTACGCTATTAATTTGGCCACGAAACAAAATCTTCCTTTATTCAAATCTTTTTAATTGTAATAGCTAATTCAGTGACAAATATAATAATATATTTTCTTTTTCAAATTCAAATTCAAAATGTCTTTATTCATGTAGGTCCTTTACAGACTCTTATAATATGTACAATCTACTGTCAGTTCTGAATGAATTTTAGAGGAAAGGAACTGACAAGAAATTCCGTACGTATTCTATTCAAATAAATATTGTACATGTTTACAATAATAGAAATTTATTCTTAAATTCAAGTTTGGGAGAATAGAGTGACTTCCAACATACGCTATTGCAAAAGCAAATAGTTTACATTTATTACAGCAGTAAATCGCTCATAATTAAATTAAAACAGATATTATTATTATAATTTAACTTGTCACAACATCATTACATCTTTGTACGGTTTGCATATACTTTAGAATAGCATTGTCACTCTAAAATAATGCGCCTTTCAAACGGTAAAAGATATTCTCAAAACGGTGCTGTGAGTCAGAGTGTATTTCTTCATATCAAAGTTTTCTCCCATTATAATTTTAGTGTTGTGATATGAAAACAGACCTTATTTTTAGACCCGTAGGTATCCTTCATCATCATCATCAGCTGCTTCTTCTTTATCTCATTTATTTGGTTTCTTTTCCATCCTTATGGGTCTAAAAATAAGGTTTAATTTTAATTTTAAATCATGCTACCAAAATCGTTACTTGGAATTTATAACTGTTTAAAATAAATTATTCTTAGTTCACTTTAGCATAACACCGACCGCTGTGGACAAACATTCTCGTGTTAGATCCATCACAATCTGGACATGTCACACCACGTGGTTGTGACGATGTATGACAATGTGTAAACGACTATGTTTACAACCATGAACTTTCCACAAACTGTTACAAAATCAACAAAATCTGACTATTCATTGTGACTTTATTTATATTATACTAGTTGTTACATTGAAATTAGACATCTAGTGTAAAAATATATAATTTAGGTAGTTGAAATAAATTTCTCAGAATAAACTGAGAAAGGACATTGGCTAATTTTTCGCATTAAAGAGTAGCATATGTCCTTTCTCAGGGTCTGCTATCAGTGTACTAATTTAAATCAGTTCAGTAGTTAGATAGAATTACTATTGCTTTTTAATATTAGTAACAATGTGTTATTTTGATATGTATATTTATGGACATATATTTTCATTTTTGTCTATAATTTGTGCAATAAAGATTATAAATAAATAAGCTATACTATAAAGTTTCATAAAAATCTGCTCAGTAGTTTTTGCGTGAAAAAGTAACAAACATCCACCCATCCATTCATACTCGCAAACTTTTGCGTTTATAATAATAATTAGATATTTTGTCTTTGACTAAAGTCACCGCCATAAAAAACGATCGTTAAAAGTTAATATATGCATTGACAATTAAATATTACTCGCATGCATTGTTATCTTGGCTAGGTAATAATTCAACAGGTATAGTGAATCACAGGTATATGAAATTATAATATAAAAATAATATAACAAAACAAATTATGACTTTGTGAAGTCATGCATTTCCTTTTCAGCAGTCACCTTTATCCTTATCATCTTTACATATATTAAATATATGTATATAAATATAAAATCGTGATGAGGTGAAAAAATTCTATTTGTCTGTGTGAATTAAGATTGTCGCATCCTGCGTACATGAATAAACTAATTGTTGTTTAACTTAAATTTAATTTTACAGTAAAATATTATAATCAATGTTACAAACATAAAATATAACTAAAGTAAATGTGACACCGTTTGTGAACCAATGTGTCTCTAATAATAAACAATTACATTTCATTTAATTTTTAAATTCGTTACACAAAGCACAGTTGCCATGAGAACATAGTCAGCGTTAACAGATTTAATATAAAACTAACTACCCGCCCTGGCTTCACACGGGTCACCTATTACATACATGTAAACCTTCCTCTATCTACTAAAACTGCATTAAAATCCATTGTGTAGTTTAAAAGATCTAAGCGAAAAGACAGCAGAAGTAACTTCATTTTATACTATGTAAAGATCTCGACGTAGATTAAGAAAATAAATATACCTAAAGTGGGATAAAGAGAGGACTAATTAGGTGAACATTTTCAAGACACCACTTCTAATTTTATTAATTTCTAAATGAAATAATATCGTTGTACATTTGTAGTCAGTATCATTAATAGATTTGACAGCCTCGGTAGTCTAACAGTTTAACACTTCCGAGGTTCGATTCCTCGCACGGTGAAAACGTTCGTGTGTATGATTATATCGTTCTGGGTATTTTCTATGTATATCAATAAAATGTATTTAAGCACTTGAATCATTTGTCTAGTATCCGTAATACAAGCTCTGCTTAGCGTGCGACTAGATGGCGCTGTGTTGGTTGGCCTGGATTGTTATTGATAAAATAGATTATTTAGGGACGTAATGTAACGCCAGTTGGTGTATTATGACTGGTGAGGTCTCAGGTGATATATTTGTACATAATTTTACTGCTGTATCTCACACGTCAAGCAGATACAGTTTACAAAGCAAACCGTTTGACGGCAAGATAGGTGTGACGGCACCCATGCAGATGACCTTCTTCAAAGTTTATCTCGATATAATACAATAACAAACTGCATTACAAAAATAACAAACTTTATTTATGTTGCTAGGCAGTAAAAATCAAATTAAGCAGATCACGTCTTATAAGCCCACAGTATCGATAGGAGGGATTCCTCTACAACAAACGAATGAAGCTCGTAATCTAGGTGTAATTTTCGATGGAACCCTTCGTTTTGAAAATCATATATTGCAGACAGTGCGTAATTGTTTTTATAGATTAAAAGTGCTATATCGTGTACGTAACTTTGTTTGTGAAGATCTGCGTAAGACACTCTGTGATTCTTTGATATTATCCAAATTCAATTACGCTGATGCTGTTTATGGACAATGTACATTGGTCCGTACTAAAAACCTGATACAGAGAGTACAGAATGCTTGTGCTAGGTTTTGTTTTTCCATACCATTTCGAGGACATGTTACTCCATTTATAAATCAAACTAATTGGTTAAAAATGGATAGACGGAACAAGCTACACTTCGCTACGTTGTTATTTGGAATAATTAAACATCAAAAGCCTTCTTACTTATTTGATAAGCTTCGATTTTCTAATCGTAATTTTGGTCAAACTTGTTCTCGATTAATATATCCCCAATTTAACACCACAGCATTTCGTGGTAGTTTTAAATACTCTGCCACTAAGTGGAATAATCTGCCTCCTCCTATCCTTAATTCAGTGACAGTTAGTTCTTTCAAACATAAATTATTCACTCACCTCTTTAAAGAACAAAAATCATTGTAGCAGGGAACACATATAATATAATAAGCATCTAAAACATGTACCAACTACACCATTTATGTACGTTATATATTTAAATATTATTAATAAATTTTATTATAATAAATATCTCATTACATAGCAATATACCTACTTAAATAATATACAGAATATACTAAATACATACATTAATTAAAATTGCATTTATCTTTACATACATTTTCATATCTATTTATAAAATGGTCTTAATTTTAACGTTTTATTTTCTTTAGTAATCTTTACGTACGCTCTCTCGTGTGTGGTGGCCCCACTGAAAATCAGCGCTGTGGTATATATATACTGCAGTATAAATGCTGAGTGGGAGTCACATTCAGCGTTACTAGTATGTTTTAGCTTTTAGCTTTTAAATTGTATAGTATATAAGATAGATAGCATCTAAGAATACTGTAATGCTGAATAAATGTCTTTATTATTATTATTATTATTATTATTATTATTATTATTATTATTTGTAACATGTATAGTACAATAAATTAATTAATATTTCCTTGGGAACTGCGAGTTGTCATAGTAATTTCCGCCTTTGCTATAGAACGCTGCATTCGGATCGTTGGCATACACTTCTATTTCAAACTTATATCCTCTCAGTATACTTGGACTTTTCAGACCCACAGTGACACTTTTACTGCCAATCCCACCACTTTCTATTAACGCTTCCCCGCTTTTGTCATCTCGCAAATCAGTGACAAAGACAGCACTAATCACTTCATTATTAGGCGTATTGATAATAACATCATCTGTCCTCTTCCATAAAGCAGGATCAGCTTCTTTTATTTCACTGTAGATCTTTCTAGACTGTGGCGATGCATATCCGAGCCGTATGTCACTTGTTTTTACTATGACAAGCAAATATGATAAAAATAAACAACTCAGAAATAATCTTGACATTTTGGATACACTGTCTCAAACATTAGACTCACAAATGATGAAATATGTTTAAGGTAACGTTTATATAGGGATCAGTAGTGTAAACAAAAGGTATGAGATCATTCTAGTATTCTATGTAAGTATTGACACTAGTAATTAACACAAACCGTATTTGTTATGAACCATCTAATTTTACGAGGAAGTATTACGTCAAGCAGAGCAACAATAAAGTCAAGAGGGTAGCACCATAAAAGTGAAGCTATAAATGAACGCTAAGAAAGTGTTGCCATTTTATTTATATTTTGTTAAGTGCAGTAAAAAGGACAGGGAAAAACGACAGCAATTTTAGTTAAAGTTAAACTACTATAAAGCGTTATATTTTTTGTTTAACTTTAGCTATGTGAGATTATCATTCATCTACTATATATCAAAAGTTAATAGTAGTTCTTGATTTTTGCTATATATCTTTTTAATTATGTTTCAGTTATATATCTCATGTTTGTTGTTGTTTGCGTCTGAAAACCGTTAAGTTTATATATTTAGACACCATAAAAAATTGTATTGTAATATCCAA